TGCCTCCTGAACTGATGTCTCCGAAGTTCAGAAGACTCAACAAATCGCTTCTCACATTCTGGGCATCCATAGGGTCTGTCTCCGGAGTGAAGTCTCTGATGTCGCACCAGGTGTGCTTTCTCGGAAAAACATCTCCCACATTCTAGGCACTTTTCATTTTTCTCTTTGTTGTGTGTTTTCTTATGCCTCTGAAGTGATGAATTTTGAGCGAAACCTTTCCCACACTCAAGGCATGTATAAGGTTTTATTCCTGTGTGAATCTTCTCATGGATCCAAAGCTTTGACTTGTGAGTAAAGTCCTTCCCACATTGCCCACACTTGTAAGGTTTCTCTCCTGTGTGAATCTTCTTATGGACCCAAAGTTGTGAGTTGCAAGTAAAGCACTTCCCACATTCCCTGCACTGGTAAGGTTTCTCTCCTGTGTGACGTCTCTCGTGGATTCTAAGACATTCTTTGTAAAGAAAAGATTTCCCACACTCCAGGCACTGGTAAGGCTTTTGTCCGGTATGAATTCTTTGATGCTTCAAAAGACTATCTTTCCTGATAAAACATTTATTGCACTCCAAGCATTTATGGGGCCTCTCTCCTATGTGCATTAAGCTGTGATTTCTAAGGGATGACGAATAAGCAAATGCTCTCCCACAGTCTAAACATTTGTAATCTTTTTCCTCTGTGTGAATTTTCATATGACATGTGAGGTTTGATTTCCTACGAAAATACGTTCCACACTTCATGCATTGATAGGGCTTCTCCCCTGTGTGAATGTTCTGATGTTTCGAAAGGCTTGCCTTTTGAGTAAAACTTTTCCCACATTCTATGCACTTGTATGGCGTCACTCCTGTATGGACCCTCTGATGCTGTGCAAGGTATTGTTTTCGGGAAAAGCATTCCCCACACTCCCCACATTTATACGGTTTCTCCCCCGTGTGGATTCTCTGATGAATTGGAACCTGCTCTGCTGAAGTAAAACTTTTTCCACACTCCCCACATTGGTATGGCTTCTGCCCCATGTGGATTCTCTGATGAATCTGAACCTGTGTTGCTGAGATAAAACTTTTCCCACAAAAAGCACATATATGTGGCTTCTCTCTTCTGTGCCCTTTCTGAAGTATCCGAAGTTTACAGGTGTTCACAAGTTGTTTCTCACATTCTGTGCCTTCATAGGGTCTGTCTCCAATGTGAACTCTCTGATGTCGCACCAAGTGTGATTTCTCGGAAAAGCATTTCCCACATTCCAGGCACTTTTCATTTTTCTCCCCGCTGTGTGTCTTCTTATGACTCCAAAGAGATGAACTTTGAGTGAAACATTTTCCACACTCAAAGCATTTATAAGGTTTTATTCCTGTGTGAATATTCTCATGGGCATGAAGGTGTGAGTTGCAAGTAAAGCACTTTCCACAGTGCCCACACTTGTAAGGTTTCTCTCCTGTGTGAATTCTTTCGTGGTTTCTAAGATATTCTTTGTGAGGAAAAGATTTCCCACACTTCAGACATTGATAAGGTTTTTCTCCAGTATGAATTCTCTGATGCTTCAAAAGAGTTGCTTTCCCAGAAAAACATTTATTGCACTCCAAGCATTTATAGGGGGTCTCCCCTATATGTGTTAGGTGGCTGTGATTTCTAAGGGAAGATTGAGAAGCAAATGCTCTCCCACAGTCTAAACATTTGTAATTTTTTTCCCCTGTGTGAACTTTCACATGATGTCTGAGGCCTGATATTGTACGAAAAAATGTTCCACACTCGATGCATTGATAGGGCTTTTCCCCTGTGTGAACTTTCACATGATGTCTGAGGCCTGATATTGTACGAAAAAATGTTCCACACTCGATGCATTGATAGGGCTTTTCCCCTGTGTGAACTTTCACATGATGTCTGAGGCCTGATATTGTACGAAAAAATGTTCCACACTCGATGCATTGATAGGGCTTTTCCCCTGTGTGAATTTTCTGATGTTCCCAAAGTCCTCCCTTTCGAGCAAAAGATTTCCCACATTCCCCACACTTGTATGGTTTCTCATCTGTGGAGACACATTGGTTTGAACCGAGATGTGGCTTCCAGGAAAAGCATTTCCCACACTCTTCACCTTTATAGGGTTTCTCTTTGTGCCTCATCTCGTGTCTATGAAGTTCAGAAGAATCCAGAAATCGTTTCTCACATTCTCGGCATTCATAGGGTGTGACTCCAGTGTGAATTCTCTGATGTTGCAAAAAGGTTGATTTGGTAGAAAAACATCTCCCACATTCTAGACAGTTTTTCTCCCTTCTGTGTGTTTTTTCATGGCTCCGAAGAGATGAACTCCAAGTAAAACATTTTCCACACTCAAAGCATTTATAAGGTGTTATTCCTGTGTGAACCTTGTCATGGATCCTAAGTTGTGAGTTGCGAGTAAAGTCTTTCCCGCATTGCCAGCACTTGTAAGGTTTCTCTCCTGTGTGAATCTTCTCATGGTTCTTAAGGGTCGATTTTTCATTAAATGATTTGCCACACTCCAGACATTTATAAGGTTTCTCTCTGGTGTGGATTTGCTGATGTTTAAGAAGCTCAGATGCTTGAGAAAAGCACAGCCCACACTGCACACACTTGCAGGCCTTCTCTTCAGTTGGGCTGTTCTGAGGCCTAGAAAGACACCATCTC